CTGCCAAATCACCGCCACGTCTACGCCGAGCCCAAGACCTAGGTGTGCCAAAATCTATGGCGCCGAGACGTGTAAGCTCGGCACCACCAACGATGTTGGGGGCGCTGAACTAATGGTCTAGATTTTGAAAGCATTCCTCCAGGGGCATATTTGTGAAAAATTTCAAAAAAAATGGCATAAAAAACAAAAAAATGGGAAATGGCACCACAAAACCAACTTGAAGGCGGCCAAAAGGAGCTCAATGCTTCCCTAAGCAAATATCTCATGCTCCTTGAGAAGTCTTTCAATCCAGATATATCTAAGGCATACAGAAATGTGGATTTTGAGGTTCATACAGTAAACAATCTCATAGCGAATCATTTCTACTGCCAAGGCCTCTTTGTTCTTGGTGACATGTTCGTGCATGAGTGTGGGGAATTAGGTGGAGCTTCCTTGAAGCTGCCATTTCAGGCTTGAAGCCATGAAAGCAAGAAACCTCGAGCCTGCCCTCAGTTGGGCTGCCAAAAACCGTGAGCAGCTGTTGCAGAATGGGTCTATGCTGTAGTTCAAGCTTTAGCAGCTTCAGTTTGTTGAAATACTGTACAAAGGAAGAAGGGGTGAAGCCAAAGATGAGGCTCTTTTATATGCTAGGACTAGGACTCACTTGGTCCCCTTTGCAGCCGTGCACAAGGAAGAATTCAGAAGCTAATGGCTTGCCTTCTATGGGTTGGCCGGCTGGATCAATCCCCATGTTCTGAGTTAATGTCATCCATGCATTGGGAGAAGCTAGCTGAGGAGCTCACCCATCAATTCTGTAGCCTTCTGGGCTAGTCTAGGGAGAGCCCACTGAGTGTTGCAGTATCAGCTGGTTTTCAAGTTCTACCAACTATGCTGATGCTGACGCAAGTCATGGCTGCGAAGAAGCAGGAGTGGCAAGTTATGAAGCAGCTCCCTGTCCCCATAGACATCGGGCCAGAATTCCAGTATCACTCTGTCTTTGTGTGCCCGGCGCTCAGGGAGCAGTCCAGTGACGAGAACCCCCCAATGTGGATGCCTTGTGGACATCATGTCTCCAAGCAGTCATCATGAAGCTGTCGAAAGCAGTTCGAGGCCCTTCAACTGCCCCTCGTATGCTGTGGCGTCGCATTGCAAGCAGCTGCATTTCTGGATGTGCTAATCTTTTCTGGCTGCGCAAAACTGCAAACCTGTTGTACATGCTTCCCCTCCTGTTCCCTGTTGCACCAGTCCAGTAACTTATGTGTCTCTAATATAAACATCTACGCCCGGATAAACATGTAGTTTCGTCTGTATTACTAATATGTATAGTTGCATCTTCCAGTGTGTTAGAAGATGCAACTGTGATCGGAAGGTCCCGGGTTCGAGTCGTGGTCTCCTCATATTGTACAGTCGAGGAGAGTAAGTCTTGCCACTGACATCCTTCTCCAGACCCCGCACAGAGCGGAAGCTCTCTGCGCTGGGTACGCATCTTCCAGTGTGTTGCTCGTGTCTCTTCTGGAGATTCAATGAATTTGAAAGTGTTGCTGGACGAGTGGACTGTTTGGGGGTATCTCATCTCATGGTGTGACAACCATGCAGGTTGTTGATTCGGCATGTTTTGCCGATTGAATGAAACTGTATTCTTTATTTGGTGGTTTGCACACATTACTACACCAGTAGGATCATCTCATCAGTTAGATGTGCTATGAATAAACAAATACAGTAATACTTGTGCAAGGAATCAACAAAGCCTATTCACATCTGCTGTTGTTGCTGTTTGTAACACTACAGATGTGGCTTGGTTGCCAGTTATTATTGAAAAAAACGCAGATGAAATAAACCAGCACGGGGTGATTTTGAAATCATTTTGCTAGCCGAGAGGTCGAAACTAAATGTTAGGCCAACATTTTGCTATAGTGGAAAGTGCACATACATGCACTTTCTTCTCTTTGCCTTGTCATAAAAACGCTGACATGACACTATCTTTTTTTAGCGTGATAATTTTTTTTGAGCGTGGACATGACACTATCTAATGAGAAATAATCTCTCCTCATTAAATGCGGATAACATGACAGAAAATGAAATTGTATGTTTAGTTATTATGGCGAAATTTGAACTTGGCCCCTCATGTCCCGGACAAACACTCGCAGGCCTCGAGCTTGGAAGTTGAAAGAAGCGTTCCGCAGTTCCGCTCACAACTGTGTTGTTTCCTGTTCTCTGCTTCTTTCAACCTTCAGGTGCCTTTCTTAGAGAGTGTTTGGTTTTAGGGACTAATTTTTAGTCCCTATCATATTAGACGTTCAGATGTTAATTAGGAGAACTAAACATTAGTTAATTATAAAACTAATTACATAAATGGAGACTAATTTACGAGATGAATCTATTAAGCCTAATTAATCTATCAGTAGCTCATATTTACTGTAGCACCACATTGTCAAATCATGCACTAATTAGGCTTAATAGATTCGTCTCGTAAATTAGTCTCAATCTGTGCAGTTAGTTTTGTAATTAGGATATATTTAATACTCCAAATTAGTGTCTAAACATCTAATGTGACAGGGACTAAAAATTAGTCCACGTAACAAACACCCCCTTAGGATTCCAAGTAGGGAGGTGACTGGTGAGTGGCGGAAGTAGCACCGGTGCGTCGGTGCTGCCACCGTGCCACGGCACGAAACGGGAGGAGAGGCACGAGCTTTGAGACACGACCACGGCGCCAGAGCACTGCATACGAGCGGCGCACGGGAGGAAGAACCTCCGTTCTAAAGAGTCATTGCCAACACCCCACACAGTGTGCCGACCTTGCCATGGGCGAGTACTCCGGCGTGCCACCCCCAGTTGGTACCAAAAGGCCAAGGCGACGGAGGCTCACCTCAAAACGCGACGATGCGGCAGTACTAGAATAAAATGAATTTAAGAGAGAAACTGGACAATCTTGGAACCATCTCCGTAAATTATCAGTGGCGTTCGGGTAAAAGCCCACCTCTCTTAACCATTTTCAAAGACAAGTATTCTAAGGCTCTGCCTCCGGAAATAGATCAACAAAGATGGATATTTTAAGAGGCTCAATTCTAAAAATAGTTGTACAAAAAAAAAATCCATAATTTTCTTATATAAAGTTGGATTAAGCTCATTAACCAAAGCGGTCATCCTATCATTGATATGTTTGTTGTCCGCCTCTGAAAATCTTTGCTCTAGTAGCGTGGTATTTTATTTTTTTTTTATTTGGAAAAAATGCATTTGTTATGGATCTCCCGTCTTCTGTCGCTTGCTATTTGACTAGACTATGGAGTCGCTTGGGAGATAAGGGGTGTGTTTAGTTCACTTTCTCGTTAAGCCTGGCTAGCAAAACTAAGACAGGCTAGTTCTATCCAGCTTTAGCCAATGCAAGCAGCATATGTTTGGTTGCCTGTAGTATCTAAGCCTGACTAGAAATCAGTGTGTTTAGTTGCCTGGTTTAGTTTGCATAGCATCGCCTCTTCTACCAATTGGTAAGTTTACCTCTCTGAGTACTTAGGTCGAAGGCACCTCGGCGAGCAAGGCAGCAGGCGGCGATTTGTCCTCCTCCACCGGCCAGCATGGGACCTCCTCCACACGAGCCGGCAGCCGCGCGACACCACCTCTGCCAGCGAACGAGCACGGCGACACCACCTGGGCTACTACGCACCTGAGCTGCGAGCTCTACTACGCAGAGCGCAGTGACAGGGGCGCTAGGCAGGTCGCGTCGCCCCACTGCGCGCCCGACGACGGCGGCGCGGCCGAGGCGGTTGCCGCGGAGGCCGCCGCCGCCGCCTCCCTCTGCCGCAGTGCGGCCTGCACGAACACCCGGTCGAACTGGTGCAAGCTTCTTGACTAGTGTCGTGGAGAGGAACGATGGGGAAGCGGCGGCGGACGGGTCGGCGTCGATGGGAAGTTGGTGCATGCGCGTGGCGCCGTCGGCCGGTGGGGTGGAGTGGAGGAGCAGCAACCGGGCTCGTTCGGCGGATCTGGAGGAGGAGGAGGAGGAGGAGGAGGAGGAGGAGCATGCTCGCCGCCCCATACGGTGGAGGAGGAGGAGGAGAGGCTTGCTGGTCGGTGGGGTGGAGGAGGAGGAGGAGGGCTCCGCCGGCCGGATCTTCTGGAGGAGGAGGATCGGAGCCGGAGGGAGGGAAGAAGACCGAAGGTGACGAGAACGGCCACTCGCCCCTGGCCAAGCCAGGCTCCACGAGAACGCCCGATTCGGGCATTTCCAACAAGCCACCAAATCCGTACCAAATGGGTTTGTGGAAGCCTGGCTACCAAGCTAAACGGGGAACCAACACAAGTCCAAGTTGTATTATCGAAGCCTGGCTAGGACCTAGGCCAGGAACCAAACACACCAAAGATGACGCAAGGAGTTCTCTAGGGAGGACGTGGCGGGAATACTTGAGAACAAATTAACCAAACGGTAGCAATAGACCTCAGAGATGAGATGTAGAAAATTCAACTTAGATTTATCGTAGTTTCTTCATATCATGGTTAAAGTCTTTCCATGTGCAGGGTTGCATGCTCTCATGCTCAGCAGCAGAGCAGCTACGGTTTCATGATCTGCCTCTGCCGATAGATCCGTTGGATAAGACGAGAACATGTGATTCTGAAACAATGGTCAGTACGTGATTCTTCCCACGTGATTCTGAAACAAAATGGTCACCATTCACCAAGCGAGGGATCGGAAGAGATTTCTTCATGAAAAAAAGTGTTCCCATGTGGATAGTGAAGTCGAGAATCAGGTCAGGTGACAGAAATTTCTTAACCAACATGTGATTCTGAAACAGGATACATTAATCAGCACGAGGGACTGGCAACCAAATAGTTAATCATGCATCTGTCTGTCTTAGGACAAGCCCCGGACAGAGGGTGGCGCAGAGCAGACAAGATACAAGTGTGCAAGTCACGAGCCATTGATGCGCATAGCAGCTGAGGCCTGACCAACTGGCGTCCTTCCTATAAGCCGAAGCATCTCGCCCTCTGTCCGTCATCGACGAGCAAGCAGAGGTGAAGCATCAATGGCGCGTCAGGAGATCGAGCACACCCAGCTCCCCGTCCGCGGGATCAACCTCCACGTCGCTCAGGTGGGCAAAGGTGAGAGCGAGAGTCCTCTGGCCTCTGTTGTGTGGTCGTCGGCTGCAAATCCGTGTTCCATTCTCTCATGCTCGCGTCGTCATTCTTGGCTCGTTTAATTTGTGGCAGGTGAACTGGGCACGGTGGTGTTCCTGCACGGCTTCCCGGAGATATGGTACTCGTGACGCCACCAGATGCTGGCCGTGGCCGCCGCGGGGTACCGCGCCATCGCGCCGGACTGCCGCGGGTACGGCCTGTCGGACCAGCCGCCGGAGAACGAGGAGGACTCCTGGGTCTGGGACGACCTCATCGCGGACGTGCTCGCCATCCTCGACGCGCTCTCCGTCCCAAAGGTAACAAACGGATCGGATGAGAGATTGTTGCAGTGACCGTATACTGATCGAACGATGCGTCGTCCACTCGAACGTACGTGCCCGCAGGCGTTCTTGGCGGGCAAGGACTTCGGCGCCATGCCGGCGTACGAGTTCGCGCTGCATCACCCGGACCGCACCTGCAGCGTGGTGTGCCTCGGCATCCCCTTCAGCCCCGTTCCCTTCTCCTTCGACACCATGCCCGAGGGCTTCTACGTCCTGCGCTGGGGTGTACGTGCCACCTCTGAATCTCTGATGATTGGAGGTGCTGCTCTGGTTCTCCGATTTCTGGTCACCATCAGTTCGTTCCTTTTTTTTTTTTTTGTTCCTGCAGGAGCCTGGCAGGGCGGAGGCTGACTTCGGCTGGTTCGACGTCAGGCGCGTGGTGCGCACCGTCTACGTGCTCTTCTCCGACGCCGACATCCCGATTGCCAAGGAAGGGCAGGAGATCATGGACCTGGCCGACCTGTCCACGCCCCTCCCGGAGTGGTTCACCGAGGATCTGGACGTCTACGCCAAGCGGCTTCCGCTACCCACTCCAGATGCCATACAGGTGAGAGCAGTGCTGTCATCGATCGCACTACGAGACACTCCTTGCCAGTGGCCAAACTGTACAGGACAGGACTGAGCTGCAGCAGGTTTACCGCGCGCTTGCTTTCGTGGATTGGGCAGGTCTATACACAAGATGCTGAACCGGCTGGACGCCAAGTTCCAGGCCCCGGTGCTCGTGGTGATGGGGGAGAAGGACTACTGCTTCAAGTTCCCGGGGTTCGAGACCGCCGTGCGCAGCGGCGTCATGGACAACTTCATGCCGGACCTCAAGATCGCCTACATCCCGGAGGGGAGCCACTTCGTGCAGGAGCAGCTCCCGGAGCAGGTCAACGAGCTCCTCCTCGACTTCCTCAAGGCCAAGGGCCACCCGTCGCATCGTGAGAATTAGCAGTTGCACTTGCGGCAATAATTGCGTATCTGTTGCCATCGGATACTTATTGGCCCACTGGCCTGGTCTGAATTTTCTTTATGCGTCTTGTTTCATTGATTTGGGGATGCTGTATCTCAACTCGATGTGACGGACATTGGTGCTTCGCCTGTGCAGTGAACTGATCTCCTACAATTAAAAAGAACAGAGCGTGGACATCTTTTGGTGCGATATTTATTTTGGTTCGTTCATCTATCCACCCACGCCTGCGATCCTGCGGCGCCGACAGGTGGGACCTCCTCCAAGCTTACGATCCCGCGAGTCCCCCGACCCTCACCCCGATGCCTCTCCGGCCCGTGCCCCCCCTCCTCCATCTCTCTATCCGTCTCTCTCTCCCTCACTCCTCATCCCAACCCCCGCGCCTCCGCCTCCGCCCGCACCGCCCGCACCACCGCGCCGTGGCTCCCGTCCACGCCCCCTCCCCTCCCGCCTCCCCTTTCTCTCTCCTCTCCTCGGCTCGGCGTGGCAGTGGCCAGGGCGGGCTAAGCGCCGCCTGCTCCTCCTCGCGCTGCATACAGTGGTCTGACGTCCGCCCGAGTGCGGTGGTGGCGGCACCACCGGGCCTTGGTCGTCGCCGCTTCGCCCCCTTCCCGGCGGCCGCGCCCGGCAGTGAGGGCCAGCACAACCACCTGACGTCTGCGGGCTGGTGGGCAACGCCGGTGGCATGCGACCGCCGGCCGTCGCCCCCTGTCAGGCTGGCCTCCCCGACGCGCCGTTCACGTGGCTCCTCCTTCATCCGTCCCGCTCATTTGGTTTGCTCCCTCCCTCTCTCACACGCTCTCTCTCTCCCCCTCCTTACTCTACGTGCGGTGAATCTGCCATGTGCGATGCCATTGCTTTGTGATTTGGACACAATCCAACAGGCCAAGGTCAATTTGATCCTAGATCTCCCACTTTTCCCTTGCCAATCTACATGGTTACCGCCTTACTGCAGATTTTTTTTTGCGTTTGTCATCTGCTTGGATCACCTGGATCTTGAGACTACCTACGTGTCGTGGCATATATCTCATGACATGACCATGTCAATGGTATTTGTTTGATTTCTTAGTATGCTGCAGTGCTCATGATTTTGCATGTCAATGATATTTGTTTGATTTTTTAGTATGCTGCAGTGCTCATGATTTTGAGGACATCACTATGTCAATTGTATTTGTCTCGTATTTTAGTGCACTGCAGTGCTCATGATTTTGGTCATGTACAATGATGAGTACACTTTCCTCTTGCTGTTAGATTAATTTGAGGGAATAGGACAGGGCTGTGATGGATACACAATAAATCTTTAGTGTTTGGTGCAGTGATCATCTATTTGCCCCGTTAAAGCAAAGGTAACCTTCATCATGTTAATTCGGCCACGTGACCCCCAATTCATTCAGGGTGTCCACGTCGCCCACAATTGCTCTCCGTGGCTGAGACCATGAGCATGAGCAATGTTGATTGTATTTTTTCCGTCTCTTCCTACCTGTTCAATGATAACTGAAGCGATGGTCCATTGGTTGGGTTGCTTGGTTCTGTTTTTTTTCGATGATTCCTTTTACGTCTCCCTACTATGTTGATAGCTGATACAGTCACCATGACCACTGCTGATTCTATTTTTTTTGCACCTCTTTCTGCCTCTTCCATGATAACTGCGGCAATGGTTAGTTGATTGCTTTGATTTTTTTTGCGTCTCTTTGTGCCTATTCTATTTTTGTGTGCTTTGAAACCTTTATGCTTTTTCGGTGATAACTGAGGCAATGGTCAATTGTTTGGTTTGATTTTTTCCCTCCCTTTGTATCGACTCTACTTTGTGTACTGAGTGCTCTAGAGCCACCAATGGGACGTACTATTCATTGGAGTTGCCTCTTAGTTATGAAATCTGAGGTGGCGTTGTGCACGGACGATAGACAGCGAGGCAAGAAGAGATTTTGCCTCTTGTGCAGTACAAATCGGTGCAGTATCTCCGATGGAATGGTGCACATTCTTCTGCCTGATGTGGATGCCCTCTACTCATGGGAACCCGAACTGAGATTGAGAGCTTCTGATTTTGGTGTCATTGCCACTGATGGTTTCTCCCTTTGCCTAATCTGATCATTGCCTTTGGTTTTGCGCTCATACTTGCTTATGACCATTGCCTTTGATGTCAATAACACATAATTGTGCAATCTTAGCTTCTTATTGTCCAGAGTCATACATGTATTCTTCTTGATACTAGGCCTATGATTGTTTTCTATGATCAATGTTGTTGACTTCAGGTTATACACTCTTGGTTTTGAGCACACGCCCTATTCTCAGTGATAGCATTGTCAACCACTTTGCTTGTCTGTGATGACTTTTGCTTGTCCTGTTTCTTACAGTTATGACAGCAACTATGTCCACTACTGATATAGGTTCGTTTTAACAAAGACAGCCTTTTTCTAATTTCCTGATAGTGTTCTTCACTTTCTAATACCGATATTACTTATACATGATCTATCTGTACAAAGTATCTCATTTATCGACTTTGTCAAGATGTTCTAATGTGTTTTGGGGGCTCTTGTTCTCCTTGTCATGGATACGAAGGGAACATAATGGCCAACATGATATTTACTACAGTCTATGTTGCGCAAACGATCATGTTTGATTTTGTGCCTGCATTCAAGAATGCTGATTCAGCGGGTTTTCGACACATATTTGAATTACCCTCTCATTTCGCTTTAGATTTTATCTTAAGAGTTCACTGTTCATACCCACGTATTAATGTGGATCCATAGGTTCCTTAGCCACTCTCCAGTTTGTGATTATTTAGATGAATACTTGGTGCAATCTTACTAAGATTTGTGTGCCCACCATCCATTTTGCTTGGATTAATTTTCTCATTGGTTATGATCTGAGTATTTTCCATTTGCCATTTTTCCCTCTTCAGACTCTGATGAAAATTCCATACCCATTGCTCAAAGATATGATCTGATGTTCATTCGCTTGTGAGGTACTGGCATGACCTGCTACTTATATTGTGCAATTTCTGAGACTAACCCAGTTGTCGGCATGCCTTAAAGTTCCAAGTTAACGAACAAATGATGATTGGTAGTGATCTTATGTTATGATGCTGCTAATGCTTTGAAGTTCCAAGCTCAAGATGTTGATCATTTAAGTTTTGTAATAAATAATAGGTTTGTAATTTTGTTGATTCGCACCTACAGAATTAAGTTGTTCATTTGCCCTATCTAATTTTTGGTCATTGATTCTTGCCTCTTCTCTTTAATCTATCCTATATATTTAAAGTTCATTGACATCTTTGATCTATCCTATATTGGTTCTTGCCTCTTTGTAGTTTTGTTGGTTGACATTTTTGGTCGAACTTTGGCAATTTCATAGCAATACTTGCTAAAATTGACACTTGCTAATATATTTTGAGAGCTGAAAATTTACAGTATTCAGCAATGAAGGCACTGAGCAAGTATTGTACTCAACAAAAAAAACTTTCCCAAGCTAATTAGCTATTTCCACTCAGGTTGCTGATGATGGCACTATTGCCTTTATTCATGCCTCAATTAGTTTACATTGTTTAGGCATCCGTTACTTTGCATTGTTCATGTACATGAAGGCGGTAACTATTAGTAGTCATAGGACGTCTTTTGAACCAAAAGGGCCCGCTAAAACCGACAATTCAATGTAAAAAGGTGAAACAAACGAAGCCCTACATTTTTCCTTTTTGATGAGGGCCAGTAATGCAATATTTCAGTCTGAGGTCATATTTTAGTTATGATACAGTTATATCAGAAGCATATTCACAGAATTAGTTGGTCACTATGGTCTACAACACCTGTCTGGTAACCAGTTATAGCATAGGATACATCAATAGAGAATAACGTCTTTCAGCTTTTGTACATATCTATACAACAAAACACAATTGTCAGTTTTTGCTTTATGGTTTTATTTACCTTCTTTTCCTGCCGCTGCTGGCATATATTTTACTTCGGTTTTCTTTTATATCACTATGATCTGGTTTATATAGATGTGCTTTTACTCAGGAACGTATCTACCACACCTGTGTTGGGTCTCATTGAATCCAAACGATTAATCAAGGTGGTGCTTATTACAATACTTCTATGAAAAAACAGAGTTTCCTGTTTACACTGTTCTTCAGGTAACCTACTTATGCTTTTAATTTTATTTGTATTTTTGCCTTCTACATGTTGCGTCCTCCCCTTATGGTTGCAAAAATATTTCCTACATTTACAACCTTCGCTTATTCACATATTCACATAAATTTGTACTATACGTTTCCGCTACATGAACTCCTTACTTTTAGTCGTAGGGTCAGGTGGCCTCCTTTCCTTTCCATCTTACTACAAGTTCAGGGTCAACACATTTGTGCCACCTTCAACTTTTCCAATGCGTTCTCAGTTTTCATTGTATTAGTTGCTCTTCATGGATGTCAAGCTCAATGGTTCTCTTATATGTATGGACTGAGTACAGAATTGTTGATCCCGCTATATTTATTTTCTCACATGTTTATTATTATGGACACTTGGGAAGTCTCATCTCATCTAGAGGCTGCCTAAACTAATTTCTTAGACCTATTAGCAGGCAACCATATTTATAGCAGTCAACTTGCAGCATGATTTCTTGATTTCCTCGATGTCTCCACTTAGCCACCAAGAGATCTGTGATTTCATTTTTGTGTTTGTAATTCAGTTCTGCACTGTTCTAACCGCTCAGTACCCTTCCTCCTTAGGTGAGGATGCAAAGGATTCATGAGAGGATGGGGGACGCACAGGCGTCAGTTGCTGTGTATGATAAGGTGACCTTCCTTGGCTCATGCTTCAAATAACGCACAAGTTAACTTTGAGAACAAAGATTCGTATCTACAGGTTTTTGCTTTTCAAACCAGGATGGCCGTGCAGGATTTCACAGCAGCACTGTGAAAATCCTAAAATGGAAGGTGTGTGCTTCTCTCCATTAATTTACATTTACATATTCGTTTTTTCGGACTGAAAATT